TCTATCGTGTCTAGGGAAGGTTCCATTCCAATTACTTCTTCGATGTCTCTTTCTAGTGTCTTACATATTCCATGTTTATCTGATAACCTATTGTCCATTAGTCAGATTACCAAGGCTCTTAAATGTTCTGGAACATTCTTCGATACTCATTGTGTCTTTCAAGACCTTCTTATGGGAGCAAAGATTGGTCTTGGTAGAGAAAGAGGTGGTTTGTACTACTTAGCTATGAACTGGGCTTCGAATGGAAAAACAAATCAAATAGTTGGCATGTCAGCATCAGAAGCATCAGAAGAGCAGATTTGGTTATGGCACGAAAGATTAGGACACCCCTCATTTAGCTACTTGAATAAGTTGTTTCCATCTTTATTCTCCAGAATTGATGTTTCTAATTTTCATTGTGATAGTTGTGTGTTAGCCAAACACCATTGCACTTCTTTTCCTTCAAGTTTTAATAAAAAATTTCTGCCTTTCTCAATTGTTCGGAGTGATGTGTGGGGGCCATCCCGTGTTCCTAATCATTTAGGTTCTAAATGGTTTGTTTCCTTTATTGATGATTGCACTTGTGTTTCATGGATCTATTTGTTGAAAGAAAAAAGTAATGTTTTTTCCACCTTCCAATCCTTTCACTAAATGGTTTTGACCCAGTTTAACACGAGAGTACAGGTTACACGATCAGATGATGGAGGGGAGTATATTAAGAGAGGGCTTAGTGTCTATTTTTAGGCTCATGACATCATTCATCAAACTTCGTGTGGTGATACACCCCATCATAATGGAGTAGCAGAGCGTAACAATCGCCATCTCTTAGAGGTTGAGGTTGCTACGTCATTACTCTTTGCTATGAACGTTCCTAAAACTTTCTGGGGAGATGCTGTTGTTACCGCAACGTATGTCATTAATAGAATGCCTTCAAAAGTCCTTCAGTTTCAAACTCCTCTTTAGACATTATCCAAAACACATGCTATTCCAACTCTTCTTCACATTCCACCCAAAGTGTTTGGCTGTGTTTGTTATACTCATATCCACAAACAACACCGGAGTAAGCTGGACCTGAGAGCACTCAAGTGTATTTTCTTGGGGTATTCTGCCACACAAAAGGGATCCAAATGCTATCACCCTCCTTCAGCAAAGATGATTGTTTCCATGGATGTTACTTTTGTTGAAAATTAGGCTTACTATTCTGGGGGAGATTCAAATGCTTCTCTTTAGGGGGAGAATTTGGGAAATGAAGAGAAGTCTTGGGAGGTGTTGCCACTACCATTAACCAGTATATCATCATCTATTGAAACTTCTGCATCGACTTAGAAGGAATCTTCTGAAAATTCTGCACCGACTTCAAAGAAATTCCTTGAGCCACACAGATTTGTATACTCAAGAAGGGAGAAAAAACAGACAACTCAGCCTCCTTTTAATCGACCCAATGGCCAATTAAGTGCTCCTATGACTGGTAATCCTGAGGTAGTTCCTTCCTCTAAACGCTTTATTTATACTTCTATTAATGAGTCCGCTCATTTACCTATGGATCAACTTGATCAACCACATGATGCTACTGAATTAGTTATTGAGAATCAGGCACGTTATCCCACTCGAGAAAGAAAACCTCCCTCCCGTTTTGGTTTTTCAGCTGTAAAATATCCTATCTCTCATTATGTGTCTTCACATTGTTTATCTTCATCTTATAAAATATTTGCAAACCAGTTATCATCCGTGTTTGTCCCTAATAAGTTAGAGGAAGCTCTTCACAACCCCAAGTGGAAAGCTGCCATGATTGAAGAAATGGAAGCTTTATAGAACAATTCTACATGGGAACTTGTTGAGCTACCAAAGGGAAAGAAGACGGTTGCAAATGGGTATTCACAGTGAAGCATAAGGTAGATGGTTCAGTGGAGAGGTTCAAAGCAAGATTGGTAGCTAAAGGTTATACCCAAACCTATGGGATAGATTATCAGGAAACATTTGCACTGGTGGTGAAGATAAATACAATAAAGGTCCTCTTATCATTGGCTGCAAATTTAGAGTGGCCTCTTCAGCAATTTGATGTGAAGAATGCATTTCTTCACAGCGATCTAGAGGAAGAAGTATACATGGACTTTCCTCCAAGCTTTGTTAATTAAGCTACGCAGATTGAGGAAATCCTTGTATGGACTCAAGCAGTCACCTAGAGCTTGGTTTGGCAACTTTACTCAAGCCATGAAGAAATATGGATACCACCAGAGCCGGTCGGATCACACTCTCTTTCTCAAACATTCACTTGGAGGTAAGATTATTGCCTTAATCGTGTATGTGGATGATATTGTGGTGATTGGTAGTGATGGTGAGGAGATGGGTAAGCTGAAAGCATATCTAGCAAAAAAATTTGAGATCAAAGACCTTGGATCTTTACGATATTTTTTGGGTATTGAAGTTGCTAGGTCAAAGAAGGGGATCTTTGTTTCCTAACTTAAATATGTCTTAGACTAATGTTGGCTTGCAAACCTTTTGATACTCCAATTGAACAAAATCACAGGTTAGGTAAATGCACAAATGATACACCTATAGACAGATAGAGATACCTAAGGTTGGTTGGAAAGCTAATATGTTTGGCACATACTCGCCCTGACATAGCCTATGCAGTGAGTGTAGTAAGTCAGTTCATGCATCCTCCTTACGAAACACACATGTTGGCTGTACAAGGGATTCTCAGGTGGTATTTAAAATCAGCTCTTGGGAAAGGTCTGCTATTCTCCTACGATGGTCATCTCGAAGTGGAAGGATATACAGATGCTGATTGGGCAGGATGTGTAATAGATAGAATATCAACTTCAGGATACTGCACCTTTGTGGGAGGGAATTTAGTTACTTGGCGTAGTAAGAAACAATCTGTTGTGGCCAGATCTAGTGCTGAAGCAGGATTTAGAGCCATGTCTCATGGTATATACAAGATGTTGTGGCTGAAGGCTTTGTTAAAGGAGCTGGGCTTTAATTCTAGGGATCTAATGAAGCTTTCCTGTGATAACAAAGCTGCCATTAGCATTGCTCACAATCCAATTCAGCATGATCGTACTAAACATGTTGAAGTGGATAGACACTTTATCAAGGAGAAGTTGATAGGTGGATTAATTTGCACTCTGTTTGTGAAGACAGAACATCAGCTTGCAGATTTTTTGACAAAGGGAGTGTCAAGTACGACTTTTAATTTGGCAATTGGCAAGCTGGACATTCGAGACATCTATTAGTTCCCTTGATTTTATGGATTTGATTGATTTATGACTATTGTAAATTAGAACAAGATTGTAGGACAGATTGATTACAGTAAAATAGGATAGATTGGTTGTTTTAAATTAGGAACAGATTTGGAGGAATATTTTTTATTCGTTTCCTTGTATAGCTTTCCCTCTTTCCTATATATACTTGTACAAGATGTTAATGTATATATATGAGGCAGAATATTTTACAGAGAATTTCTACAATTTTCATCACCCACTACTTCCTCAACCCCTTCGACCTCTTCTCCCCTCCATTTGTTCTTGGAGATCGGTACCAGCAACTTCATCCTAATCGCACGACTATTATCTTCCTGACTCATATTCAAAAGAGAAGAAACAGAAATTGTAGAGGAAGAGGAGAGAAAGAACTGACCTCACAAATCAAGTCACACGAAGATCTTGAGACTGAAAAGGCAACGCACAAAACTTCTGTGAAATAAAGGAAGATACCAGATTAGGAGTTCTACACATAGTAGGGGTGTGTCTATATAAGGACAATAGTGATGATAATGGCGGCTGGAAAAAAATCACACAGCGCGAGTTTCGAGGGACACGATCATAGTTACGAACCACGAAAACCATTCCACTTCTATGGCAATTTAAATTCCCTCCTCTCCATACTAAGAAGGAATTGGGGGCAAAGTGTGGAGGGAAAAATTCCATCCAATCAAGGCTCGACATGTGTACAAGTGGGAAGCATAGGAGGATGGGCAGTGTGTAGGGGTGGCAATTCGTGTTGGCGGGTCATATTCGTGTCATGTCAAGACTTGGGTATCCTGTTAAAAGGATCGACACGAACACGACACGATTATTATTCGTGTCAAGGTACGACACAATTATTACACGGGTAACCCGACACAGCACGTGTAACCCATTTAATAAATAAGTCAAGACTTGACATGACACGATAAGACATGCTTAAGTTATTTTTGACACGAACACAACACGTTTAACTAAATGGGTCATTTTTAACATGAACACGACACGATTAGTTAAACAGGTTAATCGGGTTATAAACGGGTTGGTGGGTCAAACAGGAATACAACACGTTTAATTACCGTGTCAATTCGGATCGACATGATTACGACCTGAACACCATTAAGCCAAACGCAAATCCACTTATTCTGTGTTGTATTCAAGTCATGTTAGCGTGTCGCGTCAAATATTGCCACATTTTTTTTTTTTTTTTGACAAGTAATCAAATATTGCCACCCCTAGGTGTTTGTTAGAAGCCATATCTAGTACTGGAAAAGCCCAAGGGGAGAACCAATTACAGCTGGACCAGTCCACTAGAGAAGAACGGAGGGGCCCGGGCCCATCGGCCCAAATGAAATTACTCCATACCCGCTAGAGTTCCACTCCTAGTAGGAGAAGGATTCAATGAGATTAGGAAAGAAAGATAAAAGAAGGAAAAAACTTGTATAGCAAGAAAATAGTCCACAAACGACTCACCTAGGGTTTTACCCGTATAAACAAGGGCAAGAGGCCCCACAAAATCTCAAGCAATTTTCTGCATGTGTATTCCTCTCTATTTTTCTTCAAGTCTTTCATTGTTTTTCTCCAGTGTTTGAGGCGAGTAGTGCTGCTCAACTGATTAATTTGGTCAGCAATAGTTTTTGCACCTACATGTATGTTGTGTGCCTTTTTTTCTTCTTTAACAAAAACATAAGAGTTTATTATGTGTCTTAAACCCTAAAAAGAAAACGATACATTTGTTTGGAAGTTAACTTGTACCAACATTGTCTTTTTTTACAGAAGAGGAGGCTTAGTAGACTACAAACGTTGTTTGGGTGGAACATACATTATGTTGATGCAACGGAATCCTTATTATGTATGTCTATGAATTCTATCATTTTCTTTTTAGTTTAGACTCGGTATGATTTTGTTGCTGCATGATAAGACATCTTTTCCAAGTGAGTTTGAATCTGACGAAATGTTCCACATTTTAGGTGTTTCTAATGATTCATGGACAGCACATGTGGTTGAACCCTCGGTGAAAATAATTAGATCTTACCTAAATGAGGATGCAAGCTTAGTGCCTGATTCAAAGACCAGATCCGGTACCGAAGGATTGAAATTGATTCAAAGGGACTTGTGGACTCGATATGAATGCAAGGTAAAAAGTGATAGTTGTAGTACAGTATTGACTTTTTCCTTTGTCCTCTCTTTGTTTGGCTGTTTGTGTGTGCGTGCATGCATGATTGTGTTTATGTGAGTGGCATGCTTTTATGCCAAAATTATCGCTTTTGATGTCGGCGTGTTACTGACTTTGTTCACTGCCAGGCTTGTGGAAATAGGGTGCTTAGAGGGGCACATGAGTGGGAACAGCATAAACAATGCCGAGGCCATCGAAAACGAATATCTTCACTCAGGAAGTCTGGAAATTTTTGTTCTGTAGAATAGCCAGCCCTTGAAGCATAACCCTTTCTTCTGATAGAGAATGATTGTGTTGTTTCATTACCATGCGAGGCCAACTTATTTGATAGAAAGAATGCTAGGGTTTATATCAGGTGTCTGTGTTTTCAGGATTCTACTTGCAGTGAAATTTAAAAGGCTTTTGAAGTATTGCAATTGCTGGTTTCTTTTTCTCTTTTCTTTGTTTTTTTAAATTTTTTTTTCCTTCTTCCCCTTTTGCCTTTCTTCTGATAGAAACAACGGGTGGGATTTGTTTGGTTCGGTTTAGAGGATAAACTTGAACCGGTCTGAACCAAACCAATCAGAATTGTAAATAAATTATTTAGATCTGCTTGATTTTATGGATTAAACTTATTTTTAAATAGTTTAATAATGATGTCTAATGGAGTAATAATTAAATTAAAGCTTTGGAATTGGAATTAAAGTTTTGGAGAAAAATAACTCACAAAATTGAATCAAATTTTTTTCCAATTCCAAAACTCTAATTCCATGCAACTGAATTGTTTAAATCAAACATGTCTTTTGACTGAATTTCTAGTTCCTACAATGTACCGGTAACATAGTAATAGTGCAATATGGCAACAAGAGCTAGAATATAATTTCTTATATATCTATATCTATACTATTATTAAATGTACAAAGTGTTTTAGTATTTATTTATTAATATAAAAAAATATTTATTAATGGATATAAAATTTTAAAAATTAACTAATAAAATTCAAATTATCTATATTTATTAATTGATATGAAACTCGAAAAATTAACTAATAAAATTCAAATTATCTATTTATTTATTTGTTTCTAAAAAAAATTACCCGGCTTTCAAATTATTTAATAAAATTTAAATTACAAATTATCTAATAAATTTATATTATTATTAAAAGAGTTTCTATAAGTTCAAATTACAAATTTCCTAATAAATCTATATTAAAAGAGTTTATATAAAATTGTAACACAATTTATATCTATACTATTATTATAAAAGATAATGACATTCATTCGGTTCGCCGATTATGTCCTTATAAGAGGAGGACACATGTCAACAGCCTATAAATAGAGGCATCGAAGAAAGAGGAAGGGTACAAAAATTGAGAATTCTAGAAATTCAAGGGGGCAAAAATTCAGAGACTCATAATTTCAGAATAAAATACATTCAAAGTCAAGCAAGCACATCCAAAGTGTTCTTCCACAAATTCTCTGAAGACAAAAAACAACAAGCACATCTAAAATTGTACAGTTCTTTCTCAAATTCAACTTCAACAAAGGACAAGCACATCTAAAATCGTGTTGTTCGAGATCAAGATTTGTCAGAACATAGATCCAACCAACAAAGGATCAAAGGATTGTACTCAATTTTTATAAATTAATAAACTAAATTTTTATAAATTAATTATTATTTGCTTCTTAAAAAAAAAATGTTAATGCATAATAAAATATTTAATAAATTAATTGGTACATAAAATATTGAAATAAATCAATTGGTACATAAATAATTAATTCACCACATATTATCCTCATACTTTTTCCTTTTGCTTTTTTTTGTTTTTTTTACAACCTCATGATAAGGTTGGGCAGTGGATTAGACATTACATCACGCCTCATGATTTAAGTAATACTGTAGTGCATTGTATACAAAACAATTAACAATTAAAATTAAATAGGTAAAATAAAATAATTTCTCTAAAACTCTAACACAAATTACCTTTTATTGTGAGTTTTTAAATAAAGAAAATCTAAATAGAGAAGGATATATTTAAAGAAAATAAATAAAACAAATTAGACAAGAATATATTTAAAGAGTTTCTATAAAACTTTAACACAAATTACCTATTTATCTATTTATTATCAATTTTTTAATAAAAGAAAATCTAATTAGTCAAGATATTATTAATATAAAAAATATTTATTAATTGATATAGAAAATAAAATAATTTCTCTAAAACACTGCCACAAATTATCTTATAATATGATTTTTTTTAATAAAAGGAAATTTAATTAGATAAGGATATATTTAAAGAAAATAAAATAATTTATTTAAAACTATAGCACAAATTACCCATTTTATTTTCAATAAAACTCTAGCACAATAGACAAGGATATATTTAAAGAGTTTTTATAAAACTCTAACATAAATTACATATTTATCTATTTATTATTTTGAGTTAAAATAAAAGAAAATCTAATTAGACAAGAATTGTTAATATAAAAAAAAAATTATTAATTGATATATAAACTAATATAATTTTTCTAAAATTTTACCACTAATTAGATAAGGATATATTTAAAGAAAATAAAATAATTTCTATAAAACTCTACCACAAATTACTTATTTTTTTTTCAATAAAACTCTGTTACATTAGATAAAGATATATTTAAAGAGTTTCTATAAAACTCTAACACAAATTACCTATTTATCTACTTATTATGAGTTTTTTTAATAGAAGAAAATATAATTATACGAATATTATTAATATTAAAAAATATTTATTAATTGATATAAAAAAGAGGTTTTAAAAGAGTTTCTATAAAACTCTAACACAATTTACCTATTTATCTATTTTTTATGAGTTTTTTTAATAAAAAGAAATCTAAATAGACAAGAATTACTAATAAAAAAAATATTTATTAATTGATTTAAAAAGAGTTTTTAAAAGAGTTTCTATATAAAACTTTAACACAAATTACCTATTTATTTATTTATTTATTATGAGTTTTTATTAAAAGAAAATCTAATTAGACAAGAATTATTAATATAAAAAATATTTATTAATTAATATAAAAAATAAAATAATTTTTCTAAAACTTTACCACAAATTATCTTTTGTTTTGAGTTTTCTTTAATAAAAGGTAATCAAATTAGACAAGAATTATTAATATAAAAAAATATTTATTAATTGATATAAAAAGAGTTTTTAAAATATTTACTCTAACACATATTACCTATTTATCTATTTATTATGAGTTTTTTTAATAAAAGAAAATATAATTAAACAATAATATATTTAAAGAAAATAAAATGATTCCTATAAAATCTACCACAAATTAGCGGTTTATTTTCTATAAAACTCTATCACATTATATATTTATTATGAACGAAAATCTAATTAGACAATAAATTATTAATTTAAAAAATACTTATCAATTGATATAGAAAATAAAATAATTTATCTAAAACTCTGCCACAAATTATCTTTTATTATGAGTTTTTCAAGAAAAGGAAATTTAATTAGACAAAGATATATTTAAAGAAAATAAAATAATTTCTTTAAAACTCTACCGCAAATTACCCATTTTATTTTCAATAAAACTCTCTCACATATTTATTTATTATTTTGAGTTAAAATAAAAGAAAATCTAATTAGACAAGAATTTTTAATATAAAAAAAATTATTAGATGATATATAAAATAAAATAATTTTTCTAAAATTCTACCCCAAAGTACCTTTTATCGTAATTTTTAATTAAAAGAAGTCTAATTAGACAAGGATATATTTAAAGAAAATAAAATACTTTTTATAAAACTCTGACACAAATTATCTATTTTTTTTCAATAAAACTCTGTCACATTAGACAAAGATATATTTAAAGAGTTTCTATAAAACTCTAACACAAATTACATATTTATTTATTTATTATGAGTTTTTTTTAATAAAAGGAAATCTAATTATACGAGTATTATTAATATAAAAAAATATTTATTAATTGATATAAAAAAAGAGGTTTTAAAAGAGTTTCTATAAAACTCTAACACAATTTACCTATTTATCTATTTATTATGAGTTTTTTAATATAAAGAAATCTAATTAGACAAGAATTATTAATATAAGAAAATATTTATTAATTGATGTAAAAAGAGTTTTTAAAAGAGTTTCTATATAAAACTTTAAAACAAATTACCTATTTATTTATTTATTATGAGATTTTAATCAAAGAAAATCTAATTAGACAAGAATTATTAATATAAAAAATATTTATTAATTAATATAAAAAATAAAATAATTTTTCTAAAACTCTATCACAAATTACCTTTTATTTTGAGATTTTTTAATAAAAGGTAATCCAATTAGACAAGAATTATTAATAAAAAAAATATATTTATTAATTGATATAAAAAGAGTTTTTAATATATTTACTCTAACACATATTACATATTTATCTATTTATTATGAGTTTTTTTTTTTGTAATGACTCGATCATTTTTCTTCCTTTCTTTTTTCCCCAAATTTTACGGATAAGTTTTTTTCATTGTCTTTTCTTTTCTGTGTTCGGTTTTTCATCACTTAGAGTCATCACGAGTGCTCGAAAATGGTTTCCAAGACTCTTTTCTTTGAATTGACAACTTCCTTTAAGAATCGAGTCATTTCCACATTTTATTTTTTTAGACACTATTCACTTTTTGTCATTTTCCTGTTTGTCACTTCTTCGGCGTAACCTCACTTTTTGTGATCAGAGTTGATTTCTGACTTCACATGCTTTCATTCTATGTGGTTTCCATAAAATACATATCTTTACTTTTGTAGAAAAGTACTCTGGCTGTTCCCCGTGTCCATAGGTGCATGAATGTATTGTTTTTTCAGAAACATTAATGTTTCTTGGGGTATTTTTCGTAAATATCCTTTCAAGATATTTATTTCAGGCGTTTTTAAGAAAATATCTTCCTAAAGATATTTTCATTCGAGCCAGTTTTGCAGTTATCCTTTTTTGTACGGGTCATTGTGTAATTAACAAAAGTTATTGCAAAATACCTCGTTTTGAGCTTGGATCCTAGTACGGGAGATATTTTCACTTTTCATCGAGTCGCGTACTTTTATAATTGTCTTCTGGTCGTTTTTCCCAATTTTAGGGTTTCTAACCCTTGTTGCCGCCGAACTTGTTCAGGGCATATCTCTTTACTCGGGAATCGGTTTACGATGCCATTTCTTCCGTTGTTCATTTTTTTTTTTTTCATTTCAGTTCTTTTTCATTCACGGTGTTCTGCCATTTGAGCGTGTCTGCTCAAATTCTACTTTTTCGAACCTGGCGGGACCCGTTCGGGGTACTTTTAGGGTTTTTCTATAAATAGATGGTTAGTAAGTGAAAAATAAGATTTTTCTCATCTTTCTCCCCTCTTAGCCGGCAGCCATGGTAGCCTAAGGGCCTGTCACCCTTCTTCCTTCTTTTCCGGCCACTTCCT